AACGCCGGCCCGTGAAGAGGCGGGGGCGCGTCCGAGCGCCTGCAAGGTGTTCGACCGCGGGCGACGGCCACGGAGTGGCGGCCGGGTCCGAAGTGGGAAGCAAGTCTAACGACAGTCTGTCGGAGCGGGTGCAAACACAACAGCACGCAGGTGGAAGAGGAGGAAGACGAAGTTCTTGCCAACATTGGCTACAAAAGCACAAGTCTTTTAATGAAGTTGGGCAGGTTGCACGCAGGCCGCCGGCAATCCAACCAGGAGAAGCAGCTCGCAGGCCGCCGGCGATGTAATCGCAAATCGAAGAAGGACGATACATGGAGCGAAGTGGACTCCCAAACCAACTCCAGCCGAGGTGAATACGCATTAGGCGGCGACGGTGTCCTCAGCATCCTCCGCCGCGTCGGCTATACCTTCGCCAACTAGAGATATCAGCGCCGCATCCATTGTCTCCTGCTCTTCGTCGTCGATGCCGAAGATGGTGGTGAGGGCGGCGATGACGTGCGCCGGCAGTGGGCCATCGAACATGGCGACGTACTCGGCGATGACCTGCTCAATTGAAGCGCCTTCCTTGCCGTTGAGGAGGCCCAGCCTTTTGAAGAGAACGCGTTGGCAGCGCTCCATCGTCGGCCGTGCTGGTTGCTTGGCAATGCGCTCACTGCGTCGGGTGGGCTGGCTGTGCTGCCTTGTGCGGATCTTGAGGCGTCGTCCCATGTGGAGCGGTCGCGCACACGGCGATCTTGGTGGCGACCTCGGCGGCGAGGCGATGATCGGTTGCGGCGGCGAGGCGAACAGAGCATCGAGGACGCCCGTCGAGATCGGTGACGCCGAGGCTGCTGCTTGGGCAAGCTGGGTGGCAACCGGGGAAGGTGGCGGCGGCGCCACAATGTCATCAATCTCCATCGCGCCGGTGGGGACGACCTGGACAGCCGGGGGAGAAGGCGGCAGCATCAGGTGGCCGCCCTTCCCCCCTGCATCACCAGTCATTTCCAAGTTGACGCCCCCCCCTGTGGCGACGGGAGAGCTCAGCACCGGGCCTTGGGCTAATGCCGGCGAGGTGACCCGCGGGGGCGGCGAGTCAATCTGCGGGAATGGCTCTCCCACAGGGGGGTCGGTCGCCGCAGCCGCCAGCTCAATCCGCAGGAGCGCCTCCTCTACTTGTTGGCAAGTAGTCGTCGAGGTAGGCGGCGGCAGCGCCGACTTGATGCGCGCGAAGGCGTGTTCGACCGGGATCGGCTCCCAGGCCGCGTTTTGGAACCAGGCTTCAATCCTCGGTTTGGCTGGGCGACCCGAGAGGGCTGGCGTGGCAGCCTTGTCTGCGATGATGGAGAGCCGCTGCAGTTGGCTCACCGGCGACAACGCGTTCGTCTGGGGATCCTGACACAAGAAGCTGGAGTTGTGCAGCGCGTGGAGCAAACGAAATTCACCTACCTCTGCCTGGTTCGCGGATTTGTGTAGAAGGGGAATGTTCATCAGTTTGCTCGAGTCGTAGACCGGATTAGCCGTGCGCCGCGTGCCGCCGCCGCTACGGTTGGCGCCTCCCCTGTCCCGGCGACGCGGGGAGCGCGTGCGTTCACGGCGGTAGTCGTTGTCGCTTCCCCGCCTATCATCCCGGCCACGGCCGAGATCCCGGCCTCGGTCATCACGATCATCATCGCGGTCATTGCGGCGCCAGGGTCTCGGGTGGTCATTGCCAGACCCCCGACGACGACCACGCCCGCCGCGCCCGCCCTGATCGCGGTCATGGCGGCCATCGCGATCAGCACGGCCGTCGCGGTCGTCGCGCTCGCCATCCCAATCATCCTCGTCATCGTGGTCGCCTTCATCATGAAGGCGTCCTCCCCGTGCTGCGCGTCCACGGCGGGGTCTGTCCGCGCGGCCATCGATGGCGTCGCGGTCAGACCGGCGTTCTGGCCGGCGAACCTCCCGGCGCTCGTCATCCCGATCACGCCCTCCGAGGCGCTCGTGGACCGATCGTGGCGGCGGCGGGTGGTGCGGGAAGTCTTCAAAGACTCGCCCTGGGACCTGTTCACCGTCGAGCACTCCCAGGCTCCAAGGCGGTAGGCAGCGCTTGGCCGGCTGGAAGCTGCCTTGCCCCTCCAGATCAATGGTCGCCGCCGTGTAGTCATGAATCTCCTCCAAGTGGAAGAGCACCGGATGGCGCACCCCCCTCTGCCAGTGCTCCAGTGGGTTCTCCACCGCAAATAGGGGCGCCAGGTTCGAGTCCTTCGCCCGCTTTGTGAAGCCAAGCCACATCCTCTTCGGGATGGTGCTAGGATTCGCCGTCCACGCCCATAGGTCGATGGAGCGCGTGTTACCAGACTCCACTGGGTGGACGACGTCCGTCTCGATCTGTTCCAGGGCGCAAGTGCGACCAATGATGCGCTCAGCAATGTCCGCGGCCCAGGCATGCATGGGGACGCCGTCAAGACACAACCGAACTCGGAACATCAAGGCGACACCAAGCGCGCTCTCGAGGCTGCGCCACTTGATGAAGTGGATCTCAATGCCGTGCCGCTTGACGTATCCCTTCGCCAGCGCTTCCTCACAATGTCGACGGTGCTGGAACTTGATGAGGAAAGCTTGTGGGTGATGGAGAGACACGGCCACCTCGCCACGGCGGAGCTTGAACTCATCGAGGAAGGCCTGCTCGACGTCGCGCGGCTCGGTGGTCGGCGGAGCGCGGGCCGCCCAGGAGACCGCTGCGGTCTCACTCCATTCACGCAGCTCCTCGTCAATGGCGTACGAGGTGGGGATGAAGCAAGTGTCCTCCTCAGGGCGCGTCGCCGGGTCGCCGAGCTGCGACATCTTAGCCAGGGGCGGTCGCGGAGGCGGCGGCGGGGGCCGGGTGACGGGATCCTGCTTGGCGGGTGACGGCAGTGGAGCAGGGGAGGCGCGGCTGCGTGGCGAATGCGCTGACGAGCGGGCGCGACGAGGGGCGGGGGGGTGCGTGTCAGGAAGGCGGCGCGTGTTGGTACGACGGCGAGGTGGAGTGCGTTGGCGAGGCGGAGGCGGGGAGTGTGAGGTAGAACGAACTCGACGTGGTGGAGGGGACGAGAGCCGAGCACGGTCAGCGCGAGACGCGCCGCGGAGTCGAGGCGCGCGGTTCGCAGCGTCGCGGTGGCGACAGTCGCGCGCCCGATGGCCGGAGCGACGACAGAGGAAGCAGCGGACTGGATCTCTACACTGGGCTGCACGGTGGCCGCGGGAGAGGCAAATGAAACATTTCCCACTGGTCTGCGCCCAAAAGTCGCGGTGGGAGAGGCAGCCTCGCCTAGTCCGGACGACGTCGTTTCGCCTTGAAGGTGGCCGGTGCGCCCTGCTTGAATGCTCTCCGCTTGAATGCTCTGCACGTCTCCACCAATGCTTCCGCTGAACCCGGATCCAGCCCGGTTCTCCGGGGAGAGAGCCGCCCATGTCCTGCTCGGCGACGCGACGCGGAGGCAGGCTAGCATCGTAGGGAGCAGCTCTCCGCGGCGAGGCGTCATGGCGAGCGGCGCGGTTGTTGAGCCGGACGGGAGAGGTAAATGCAGAGTTGAAAACGGGGCGTGGTGAACAGCGCGCCCAGCCCTGTTGGCTCAAATTTGAATTTGAGCTTGCCGCCCCTCTGACAATCTCCGCGAACGAGCGACGGAGTGGCGGATCTGGCGTCTCCAGCACAACCGAGGCCGATCTCGTGCAGGCGTGGCCGTCCCTGGCCAGCGGCGGCGGCTGCGGAAGGGGGGATACCGGGGCCAGAAGAGACGACGGCGTTGTCTTGCTGGTGGGGGGAACGAGGCTTGAGCGAAGCGCCAGCGGGGAGGGCCACGAAGCGGCGGAGACCGCGGAAGGCCAGCGGAGAAGGGTGCGCGTGGACGGCGCCGGCTGGAGCGCCAGCGCCGGCGGCGGCGGGCGCAGGGGCATGCTTACCTTACCATGTTATTTGCCTTCCTCTTTAAAACCTTGTCTGTCAGTCCATATAGACAATACTATGTCCGTACATGTCCCGTGCATAGCCATGCGAATACGTGATCCTAAGCACAAGATGCCGGGGTGTGCTTCGGCTATCGAGAATTGACCCGGATTGGACGCTCTCGCATGAAACTAAACCGGCTAGCCGAAGCACACCCCTGCAGGTCTGATCGTCTGATCGTCAAAAGAATCCAGCAATACGATGGTGGACTCGGAGAGGGAGACTCGTATACCTTTTTTTTTTCCCATTGTAGTAACAGGTCATGTGTAGCACGACGGTATGTTGTATGTCATCGCCCTTGTCTTTGTGTACACGTGATTCAGTTACAGGCTGTCTGAGCTACACGCCACAGTTTGTTCCACCGAAGCTGCACATTTCACAAAGTTGAACGCCGCCCCTGCTGAACCCTACCCCTTTGACTCATCCTGTCATCCCCATGAATGCGGATGTCACCACTCGTGTGGAGAAGATTCATATACCTGCGCGATACGGCAGAGGCGAAAGGCACAACCGCACAAACCGACGCAGAAAGTCTCCGGTGGCCAGAAAACTCTCCGGTGGCTCCACGTACGTACGCGTGTCGCCTCGCGCCGAAGCAAGCCGCACCCAGGCACACCATCCCACACGCACGTAGCTCCGTCACCGCGTCACGTACGAACGGACTAGTACGAGTCAATACGTACCGAGCGCGGTATGCGCGCGGTTCGTTCAGATTTTACCGGGGGCATCAAATGTTAACCAACTTGGGTTAGAGATAATCACAACTAGTAGTAACCGAGTCAAGTCAACCCGCACAGATCTCATGCCAGATGCCACCACGTATCAACCGGGAGAAAGGTAGTAAAAGTAAAACCCGCCGCTTACGCCGGTCGTGAATATATCGGTGCATGTGCTTCAAAATTAGTAAGTTCAGAAGTACTCCGCACGGCAAAATTAGGAGTATGCGTATTCGATCTAACTATCTACTAAGAGCAAATTGGTGTTAAGCCTCTCCGCACGGCGTCGCCGTCGATCTGATTTCCGTCCAATTCGCCTAGACGAGGACTAGTAGTACAATACTCCTAGATTGCGCCGCACCACGCCACCACGTACGCACGCGTGCTACAAATTTCCCTCTTCCTCCGTCTACCGAGAAGTGGCCCAAAAGGGGCGCCTCGCTCTCGCCCCCCTCCCGACTCAGGCACCACCATCTCGCATCATTTGTTTTTTCTCCCTGGAAAGAGCGGCCATCTCGCCCTGCGTTGCGAGATCCCCGTGAACCGTCGCGGCCGGGCGGTGGTAATCGTGGCAAGGACGGATGCAGCACAAATGGAAGGTCGTGGAGGGCGGCGCCGGTGCCGGTGCCGGCGGCGGCGGGGGAGATCAGCGCCGGCGGTGCGTGACGGCGTCGTTGTCCATGCTGATCGCGGCCACCCTGGCGTTTCTTGCCTACGTCGCCTTCTTCCCGTATGACGGCGCGGGCGGGCTGTACCGGTGGTGGAGATGCGAGGGTTGCGGCGACGCGGCGGGCGGGTTCGCCTTCGACGAGGCGGCCATGGCGCAAGGACCTACGGCTGGTGGCGCCCGCCGCCGCTCGCCGACGACGCTGTCGCACATCGTGTTCGGCGTCGGCGCCTCGGCGCGGACGTGGGACAAGCGGCGCGGGTACGCGGAGCTGTGGTGGCGCCCCGGGGAGATGCGCGGCCACGTCTGGCTCGACGAGCAGCCGGTGGGGCCCTGGCCGGCGGCGACGTGCCCGCCGTACCGCGTCTCGGCGGACGCGTCCCGGTTCGGGGACCGGGCGTCGGCGTCCCGGATGGCCAGGATCGTGGCGGACTCGTTCTTAGCCGTCACGGCGGAGATGGCGAACGGCACCACCGATTCTCCCGAGGCGCGGTGGTTTGTGATGGGTGACGACGACACGGTGTTCTTCCCGGACAACCTGGTGGCCGTGCTGAACAAGTACGACCACGAGGAGATGTACTACGTCGGGGCGCCGTCGGAGAGCGTGGAGCAGGACGTGATGCACTCGTACGGCATGGCGTTCGGCGGCGGCGGGTTCGCCGTCAGCTACCCGGCCGCCGCCGAGCTCGCCAAGGCCATCGACGGTTGCCTCGAACGATACAGGCTGTTCTACGGCAGCGATCAGCGCGTGCAAGCCTGCCTCAGCGAGCTCGGCGTCCCTCTCACCCGCGAGCCCGGATTCCACCAGGTGAATATCCATCCGCACTCCAATTATTTTTTCCATTTTACTACCAAACATTACTCTGATCCTAACACAGCCCTAACAATCCTCGAAAATGTTTCCTTTAATCGTCCAACCTCCCAGGAATCGGGAAAAGGTAATTCCAAATTATATCATGTTCTTATTTCCATGCAAACTTTAGCTTAGCTGATCACAGTGCGGTTGCAATTGGCAATTACTCCCAGACCGATTTCTCGGCAACAACTGCCAAAATCAAAAACTTTTTTGCAGTTGCAATTGTCAATTACTCCCAGACCATTTCTCTAGCCAAAAATAAAAACTTTTTGACTAACTTTTCACCGCTTCTCCAAGCAAAATCCTCCACACAGAAGAGGCGAAATAGAAAGGTCTGTATCCAATCGTGATCGTTAGGATTTTCACACTTTAGAATCTTTGGCTCCTGCACTTTCTAGAAATTACTACTCAACACCCCTGCTGGCTGTAGGCAAATGCACAATGCCATCCGCGGGATGCCCTTGTTCCGGCTAAAGTTGCCGGACAGCGTGGAGGCACACGGACCAAAAGGCCTAGCTCGTCCTGGGAGCGACACCGCTCTCTGCCCCCATGTGATCGCGGGTATCTCGCAGGACAAGCGTCTACATGCCACAGGGGGACTGACCCTAGCTAACAACCGTGGTGCCCGCCCGTCGCTTTCCATTTTTCCGGGCACCACCACCCCCATCGGCACATCCACTCATTCCCCTTTCATCCACCCCGACATACACGGCGGCGTGAAAAACAAATGAGGAGATCAGGCGACGAGGCGGACATCGCCCTGAGTTTAGTAGATATCCGCCATGCCGGTTGGTAGCGGTAGAGCCATATCATATTTGTTACGTACTGCAGGGTGGATGGTCCCGGGGGTCTAGTTATGTTAGTTTGGATTGCAGCGCCAAAAATAATCCCGTGGGGCGGAGTGGCGATCTCGCCTTTGGGCCGTAGGTATCGCCGTTTTTTTCGCTGCTTGCCCTATTTCGTTGTCGTGGGCGTATGCACTACTGCTATGTGGCGTGGCTGCACGATTAGTGGCTGGAAGCCAAAGCTTAAGCTTGGTTAATGAGGCATTGATGACTGACGTTGATGGTTGTAGTATTGTAAAGAAAAAAATAACATCGGTCGCGCCCGGGGCGGTGGACCAGTGATATACTATAGCTTTTCCGGTGAGTCGCCAACACGGCAGTTGGTTGGCGCGACGTCGTGACCCCGCGGCGCCAGGTGCCTCGCTGTCCTTTTCCCGGTGACGAAGCGGCCCAGCCTAGGTGTCACGAGATGTGGAGATTAGCGCTGTAGTTTAGGTGTGGCAGCGGCCTACGGAAACGATTTCAAGTTTTGGAACGGGTGAGGGTCATTAGAGCACCCGCAATGGTAAAGTAACGTGCTCTCTATAAAACATTACAACTCAGCAATATACTAGATTAATAGTAAACTACCTCAATAGTATGTCTATATGGATATCTATAGCTCTTTAATCCATTGCCTCGTTTTTCTGTATAGACTATCTACAGGTTAGTAGATAGCTTTGCTCTCTCTTCATTTAATCTCTTTCAAGTAGGAAAATATGCTGATATGGATATCTTGTAGAGAGCCTATAAATAACCATTGCGGGTGCCCTTACATTACCGTTGGTAACCGCGTGGTTATCAGACTTATCACGGGGTACGGTAATAGAAAAATCACGATAATCTCCTTAAATTTAAATAAATTTTAAAAAATATTTTTTTATAAATTTTGTAAGTACGGTTTTTCACGATTATTGTACGGTAACTGTGCTTACCGTCAGGATGCTGTAACCTCGGTTCCGGCGGTTTGGAAACCATGGTGAGGGTTACTACTTCTTGTTCCTGGTCGCCGCAGTAGTAACGGACCTAGAGATAGTGGTAGCGGACGCATACAAATGTAGTAGTGGAAAACTCACTGGAATATATCTCCATCTCTCGTTCTCTCGTTGGAATTGAGCAGGGGCAGTGGCAGTACTACGGCTCAACTTTCGTGGGTAGTTCTACCGTGCTTGACATGCCGTGCGGTCAGCGAGGGAAAGAAACCTTTTCCCTCACGTCGAACCGGCCGCTTTTCTTTTCACCTTTTTTGAACCCATGCCTCTTGGGGACACATGTCCACCAACCAGATCTGAGAATTCTTTGCTTTTGGGCTAGTTTAGTTCCCAAAAATTTTCCCCTTCACCTATCACATCGAATCTTTGGACACATGCATGGAGCATTAAATGTGGACAAAAAGAAAAACCAATTGCACAGTTTAGCTATAAATCGCGAGACGAATCTTTTGAGCCTAATTAGACCATGATTAGCCATAAGTGCTACAGTAACCCACATGTGCTAATGACGGCTTAAGTAGACTCAAAAGATTCGTCTCGCGGTTTCCAGGCGAGTTCTGAAATTAGTTTTTTCATTCGTGTCCAAAAACCCCTTCCGACATCCGGTCAAACGTCTGATGTGACACCCAAAAAATTTCTTTTCCCCAACTAAACACAGCCTTTGTGGCGTGTCGTAACAAGGTCGCCATTTGTCACTTTCTGCCCTCTGTCTTCTTGTCGTCCTCACCATCGTTCACCATCTGGCATCGAGAATCTTCTTACTAACAACTGTGGCCGCAACAACGACTGACAGGTGGACGTCCGCGGCGACGCGTACGGGATGCTGGCCGCCCACCCGCTGGCGCCGCTGGTGTCGCTCCACCACCTCGACCACATCGAGCCCATCAGCCCCGGGGGGCAGCATGGCAGCCCGCTGGACGCGGCGCGGCGGCTGGTGCGCGCGTCGCGGCTCGACCAGGCGCGGTCGCTGCAGCAGGCGTTCTGCTACCAGCGCGGGCCGCGCTACACCTGGTCCGTGTCGGTGTCGTGGGGTTACACGGTGCAGCTGTACCCGTGGGCCGTGGCGCCTCACGAGCTGGAGGTGCCGCTCCGGACGTTCAAGACGTGGCGGTCGTGGGCCGATGGCCCGTTCGTCTTCAACACGCGGCCGCTGAGCCGCGACGACGCGTGCGCCCAGCGGGCCGTCTTCTTCCTCAGCGCCGCCCGGAACGATACGTCCTCCCGCGGCCGCGGCCGCAGCCGAGCCACCATGACGGAGTACACCAGGCGCGTTGCGAAGCCGGGGGCCAAGGAATGTGACCGGCCCAGCTTCCTCGCGGCGTCCACGGTCCACACGGTCAGGGTCTTCGCCCCAAAGATGAGCCCAAACGAGTGGACACGGGTAAGAACAACTGGCTAAACTGCTGTTCTGATGAATTCCTGATGCATTCTGGCTCTCCCATGGGCATGCTTATGTGCGTTTTATCTGTTGTTGCAGGCCCCACGGCGGCATTGCTGCAGCACGAAGAGGACGAGGTTTGGCACTGAGCTGGAGGTGCGGATACGATACTGCGGCCGAGGAGAGCTCACCACGCCGTAGCTCTCTGCCGATGATCCCGCCGCAGTTTTGCCAACAGCACGGAGGGCTAGATGCCAAGATTTTAGTAGCGGCTAGTGCCATGACACCGAACTGACTGAAGAGGACGGCAGGGTGAAACACCGTATTTCACTGCGGATTTTTGGACAGATTCTGGTTTGTCTTCGTTGTGCACGTACAAGTGATTATACGGCTCGTCAGGCCGCAGACACATGCTGACATGCATACGCATGATTGCATACCCCGGGTACACAGTAATCCGTTTGGCTCGAGCGCTCTTTTTCTGTAAAGAGCTGTAAAGGGAGTGGTGATCAGACTTAACGATTTCGACATGTAAAGCGTAGTAGGACTAGTTTGAAAGGATGGTCTTTTCACTGTTTTGAGAAAGAAAAGGTGGTATTTATCTTCTGGAGGTACTTTCAGTTCTTCGTGGATCCACATTGCACAAGAAATAGAAGGGACAAAGTAATAAGGAATAAGTTCACTTTAGGTCGCTCAATTTGTTGCTGAGTCTAACATTCGTCCCTGAACTATAGCATATCCTCCAACTCACAATACCATGTTAACTTTGGTCCCTCGGTAGTATAGTGGTGGGTTTCGGCTAACGTGCCGACTGAGTGAAGTGTGGGACCCACATATCATAGCAATTCAATCTAAATAAAAAATAAAAATTTGTGGACTTAGTGACACGTCTCCTTCCTCTTTCAATCTCGGTTTCTCTCAACTTTTTTCTCGGTGATATCGGCGGGACCGGGACATCGGTGCGGCAGGCGGGAGCAGGCCATCGGCGTGGCAGGAGGGTGTCAGCGGTGCACGAGACCACAGGCCACAAGCGGCAGTGTGGAGGAGAGCGCTGGCGATGCGGTAGCATCTCCTCCGGGCTCGGGCCCGCATCGCGCGGGACTCGTGCGCTCGTTGTTGGCGCCGTGAGAGCGACCTCTACCCTCTCTTCATCATCCTCCTCTCTCTTCTCATGTCCTCTCTCCTCTTCTCTCTCTTCCCCTCGCATGCACGCGCACACAGCAGCATACAGGCAGCAGCGTAGCAAACATCACACCGCTCTCATCCATATCAACGCTGAATCTCCGCTTGCTTGCTGCTGCTGTAGAGTCGAGAAGCTTCGGGGTGGGAGTTGTGACTGCGGCGGAGGAGAGGGGAGGAGGAAGGGGTGGTGATGCGTGGTGATGATCGATGCAACTGCTAAGCCAGTGACGGCGAGGCTGGTAGCGCTCGATGTGCTTTGTCATCTCTGCCTAAGCTCGGCCTTGTCGCTGCCCTCCACTGTGATAGGAGAGAGAGGCGCAGTGGTGCAACCCCCCCCTTCTCTCTCTGCGTGCACGCGCACACAGCAGCATACAGGCAGCTGCGTAGCAAACATCACACCGCTCTCATCCATATCAACGCTGAATCTCCGCTTGCTTGCTGCTGCTGTAGAGTCGAGAAGCTTCGGGATGGGAGTTGTGACTGCGGCGGAGGAGAAGGGAGGAGGAAGGGGTGGTGATGCGTGGTGATGATCGATGCAACTACTAAGCCAGTGACGGCGAGGCTGGTAGCGCTCGATGTGCTTTGTCATCTCTACCTAAGCTCGGCCTTGTCACTGCCCTCCACTGTGATAGGAGAGAGAGGTGCAGTGGTGCAACCCCCCCCTCTCTCTGCGTGCACGCGCACACAGCAGCATACAGGCAGCTGCGTAGCAAACATCACACCGCTCTCATCCATATCAACGCTGAATCTCCGCTTGCTTGCTGCTGCTGTAGAGTCGAGAAGCTTCGGGATGGGAGTTGTGACTGCGGCGGAGGAGAGGGGAGGAGGAAGGGGTGGTGATGCGTGGTGATGATCGATGCAACTACTAAGCCAGTGACGGCGAGGCTGGTAGCGCTCGATGTGCTTTGTCATCTCTGCCTAAGCTCGGCCTTGTCGCTGCCCTCCACTGTGATAGGAGAGAGAGGCGCAGTGGTGCAACCCCCCCCCCCCTCTCTCTCTCTGCGTCCACTGCCGCGATGAGCTCAGGAAGTCAAAGCAGCTAAAACCGGCTACCATACCGCTGAGGATTCAGTTAACACGGTATTGTGAGTTGAGGAATGAGCTGTATGTATTTCGGTTTAGGGATGAATTTCAAACTCAGCGATAAATTAAGGGACCCATAGTGAACTTGTTAGAACTAAATAATGGGCCATAAGCCCATAGCCCATTGACAAGGGCACACTGGCCCAGAATCGATAGAAATTTAACTGGGCCAGAGTAGATCTCCAGGTCAGTTAAGTTCTTGAGGCATTATTTTCTTTTTAATTTACGGTGCATAAAAGCAATCCTTGGCTTCTTGCATTTGACAGTAATCTCGACCGAAAACAAAAGACAAAAATCCATCAGTAAATGCAGGTCGATTGGTATCTCGTAGTGGCACATGTTATGATGTTGAACCCAAAAATAAATTTCCTAGGATATACTGTATCATGCGTGTAATTTCTCTGAAGTTGCAAGTCTACTGGACGATCTGTTGTGTGATATAAGAGAGTCAAAATACAGTTATACACAACATGGCTCGGAAAAAAAGGGACATCTCTCAAAATACAGGTCAGACAGAATTGTGAAGAAAAAAGGGGCATCTCTCAAAATACAGTCCAGACAGAAACGTGAATAAAAAACATCATTACAATCAAGCTTTTGCGCTCAAACTAGTCCCAATTTTCCTCTGGAGACAAAGTTTCATCTATGGAGCATAGCGCAACTTGCAAGAACTTAAGAGCTGTACTGCCCCCTTTAATTTCCGTCCTTTGATAGACACATTCCCGGCAAATTCTCGTCCTCACGATCTCGAGAAAAAGGCACAAGATGGTGAACAAATTGATTATCAACAAGTAAAGTACAATCCAACAGTGCCCATCACTCTATCAGGCTCCCAATCCCTTTCAGGGAAGCATCCAAGTGGGGGAAGCAGAGGAGAAAGGGTGGTCAAACAGCCAAATGCCGAGCCGCCCAGCGTGTGTGGCTCACATTGCCCGTTGAATTATCCCACGAGTTCTTTGGCTCCTTGCCTCCTTGCAGGTTTGCACCGATCCATTTAAAGAAAGTCAACTTCGTTGGGGGAAATCCTGGCCACAAGATCTGCCCCATCGCCAATCTATCCATTCCTCAAGGCATACGATAGAGGTTACTCCGTACCAGAAGAGTGGTCCACTCTTCCCTCTCAGATATTTTCGCCAAATCGCGTGCACATAACAACTCATGGAAGAAACTACTAGGAATATTTCTTGCAGATTCAATTTGCAATGTACTGTACTGTAACACGGTTGAAAATTTTCGTTTTCAGCCGGAATTGAACTGTTCTTTTTGTGAAGATTCTATATAATTCATATGAAACTCATAGTACTAGTACGTTCTGGACGTGGTCTTAATTAATTTCCTTGTAGCTTTGTTTGCTTGACCAAGTCAAAACGCTGCGAGGCATCGCTGGCGAGTGGCGAGCCCACACATTGTCAAAACCTTGTTTAATCAAGGAACCGGTCCATTCGTGCATGGAACCGGGCCTCCAATTAAAATGCGTGCATGTGGATAAATACTCCTATATATATCCGCAGAGTACAGTAGTAGTACATGTTTGGCACGAAACGGGCCGGTGCGGACGACGACGACGGACGCCGAGTTTTCCGTGTAGCCGATAGGCTGGAGCGCGACGCCACCGCGCGCCGCACCGCCCGCCGCATGCAAGTGGCATCGTCGTCGAGATGTAGCGCGCGGGTCGCAATCACGTGGTACGTAACTGGTGATGCAATATAGGAGTATGCAACCGCGCATGTGTGCTGTGCGTGCTTGAGCTGGTGCGTTGGGCGTTGGACTAGTTGGGTGGGGGTTGGACGCGGCCGCGCGGCGAATTCGAGTTGTTCATACGCGCGGCGCGCCGCACCGCGCTCGGTCGAGGAGAAATCGAGCAAGGCTGACCAGCTTCCGTTCTGCGTTGCGGCGGGCGCGCGGGATGTTCGTCGCTTCAGAAAGATAAGTATATGACCATGTGTCCAAGCAGCGGGCTGCCGACGTCGGCGGAGTGTTTTGTCAACACCTCGTATATGTGCTTTAGAAAGAAAGAAAAAAGGTTTTTGCTTCGATTGCAAGGGAAGCGACTAGCCATTGATTCTGCTTAATGAGGAAATTGAGAGCTGGCTGGTCGGTTTCTGTTTTCTTTCTGTCGACCGAGAGAAATGGGTGTACTACAGTACGTACTACAGAATACTGATAGAATTTGATTTGTAGTCGAGAGACTTCTAATATCCAATTACCGTGCTCATTCACTGTAGATAATTGGCATCTCTCAGGTATACCTTTTATTTTATTTTATTTTATCCTACGAGGGGACATCACTTAAACTCTGGGGGTCTGGGTCAAGTGAAAAGAAAATTGGATTATGAGTTTAATATGGTGTCTCACGGGCCCACCAGGACTAGCTAAGACGGTGGGTCATACAACTATATAAGACGGGGCCCTGCCTAGCAGCGTACTTGTCGACTACTATAGCTCTGCTAAAATACCCTTTTTTGGACTTATTTAGATACTTTTTTGAAGTATATATATTTAATTTTTTTTTGAAGGAGAGGTAATAATTGAATTTGAACTGAAAGCTTGAAATTCAACACTGCTATACCGATTTGGATCCAAAATCCACTCGATATATCCAAAGAAAGCTGAGCTGTAACCTGCAAGTCAAGGTCGAGACGTTACGTCGAGGGACGCCGATTTCTGCAGCGAGAATTGAGCATATATCAAATGGGATGACGGGATCGGGGTGGAGGATGTAGGTTGCATGCAATGCACTCAGGCCCGAGAGGGACCCATCCCCGATTGCGGCCACCCGGGCGTTCCACGGCCGTTGCTTTCGCCGATCGCAACGCTCCAACTATCAAGTTTGGACATGTGTGTGACTGACACCAACACGAAAGCTATAGCATCTGCCCATTATCACACCAACCCTAGACAGTGTAGCCCACACCGATGATCGATCGACCGATCGATTGGGTAGCCGCAGCCGCAGCTGGCTGCTGGGAAAATGACCGCACAAACAGAACTCGATTTGTATGGTTCGTTTTAATCGGTGTGCATTTGTTTACTAACAAAAGCTCCAAGTTTTTAATAGAAAAAGACCAAAACTTCTCGTTCGTGGGAGTGAAATTTCAGTTGAAAACGGAAGGGTGAAGGGGGAGAGTAGAATGATCGATCGGTACGTGCCGGAGTGTCCAATCGATCAATTATAACTTTCGTGACTGGTCTTTTTTAAAAACCTGTAACGACAAGAACATGTGGCTGGCAAAACCTAGCTATTATAGCACGGAGGCAAACATATGCATCGGTATGGCAGCGCCTCTGTGCCGCTGTGTGTGACCCCAGCATCGATCAGCAGGCAGGCAGCAGTCTCTATCTCGCTCATTATCTTTGGCCTTATCCTCCCTATCGGAAAAAAGAGCTCTGTTCGAACTGTTCGTTATTTAATATAGCATGGAAAATAAAGGA